GGGGGGGGGGTGGCGGAATGTTGAAGGGAGATGGAGGGTGGATTGAGAGGGGTAATTTAGAGAGGAGTTAAGAAGTTGGAGTGGTATGAAGGGGGGATTAGGGTTCAGTTTTTGTATTATGCTAAGTGAAGTCTCTTTCTAGTTTTCTTCTTGTTTTTCTCTAGGGTTTCTTGTGGGAGACCTTGTCCTTCTCGAAGTGGACAAACTTATCTTGTTTTCTCTTGGATTTCAAATACAAAGGTTCTTGTTCTTCTTCTCATTTCTTTTGTGATTGTTTCTCCTTGGTTTTGGTGGAGAGATTCTTCTCTTTTGAGGGGAATTAGGGCAAAACCGAAGTTGTGAAACCCTAGGGCGTATCAGTTTTCTATTTGTTTGCGTTTTTATATAAACTAAAAGCATATTTGGTATTTTAAATATAGGTTATTTTTGTTTTTTCTTTATTGAATATAGCATAAGACAATTTATTTTACAGTTTGGAAGAGGAAAAGAATTCTAAATTATTGGCTTTCATTATCCATGAGCACAAGGTTGGTAAGCATAGCTTGGACATGGAGAATGGAGATGCTAAGCAAGACATTCAAGCATGTTTTAGTAATAATCACATAAGAGTTTGAAGATTACAGAGCTTTTTAATTGATAAATTTGTGTACGAAATATCCAGATTGGAGTTTTACTTCTTGATTGAGAAAGTGCGCATTTCATATGAACCATCCATGCTAAAAATGTCTTGAAAAATCTTTTAATGGTCAATAAATTGCAAAATAAATAGCGTCAACTAGGTAAAAATTAGTTTTCACAAATAAAAAGGAGCAATAAAATTGATGGCAATAAATAAGCATTTTATATTATTCTTTCATCACAACATGAGGGAAGTTAAAAGGATGGAGATATAAATTTTATCCATAAAATAAAGAGAAATAGCAACCAATGCTCCATGAACTCATTACCTGCATTGAAGAAGAATAGAACTCCTTAGCTTTTGCTGTCCTACCCTTCGAAAGTTTTAGTCTTAGCTTACCCACATGGAATACATAGAGTGAGTTAGAGGGATGATCACTCCCATTGATTTGGAGAATAACAACCTGTAAAAGAGAAATAGCACAAAGTGTCAGATCCTACTTAACAGCATGAGGACTCGCTATCTCCTACAACTGATTACTAGAAAATAAACCTAGAAAACGCATATTCCATTTCAACAAGCATAGCTACGGCTAAGAGCTCAGGTTGATTACTGAAATTTAACTTTATTAGTGAAGATGTAACATACATTGGAAGTTATAGAGATGATTTACCACTTAGAGGCCAATGTTATACATCCCTAGTCAGTTTTACTGCACATGCTTAATATAAATTTCCATTTAGTCAATTTTTTTTTTCTAATAAATGTAATCAAACAAGGTGCAATGTTTAGTAACTTCATAGTTCAAATTATTTATCCAAGAGACCAATATTTTGAATTGCATTATTAACAAAGCTTCTCTACATTTCAGGTATGAACAAGGTGATATTGTTTGATCTAAAATTGGAAATATTAAGACATAATACCAAATGGCGTGAAATTAAAGTTACAAGTGATATTATTGCTCAGACTAAATGAACAAGGTGCTTGTTGGAGCTTAGAAGTATTGAAATGAAAAGCATTTTTAGTCACTACCCCGAACTTGAACATTGTTTTATCTAAAATTGGAAATATTAATTTATCCTAGGTACAAATTAATGCAAATTAAATTTCGGCAAGGTTTTCCTTGCAAAACTTGAACGTGTTGAAGAGAAAGAATACATGTCAAAGAATAGGTTGCATCGAAAATTCATCTCTGGAAGCATTATGAATGCACATACATGATCTCTGTTTAGTGCTGCTTGTATGCAGAAAAATAAGGTGGATGTCACTAACGGAGAACACTATGAAGTGAATAGATGCCCTAATGAGTTTGGGAAAGTAGTGGAAGAAAAGTAGGAAGAGAGACGGGTGTTGGGGATAGAGAAGTAAACCATGCAATGAAACAAACAAGAAAAAATAAAATGCAGCGGAAACTAAAGGACACCAAGATTTAACGTGGAAAACCCCAAAAACTGGAAAAAAACAATGGAGCCACACCACAACAAGAAATCCACCATGAAAATTGGGAGAAATAAGTATAGATATATCTTCTCTATCACTCTCCCGTTGCTTCTCTTCTCTCTTACACCGTTCTCTCACTCAAAACAAAAAAGAAAGTCAAGTAAATAACACAAAGGGGACACCACCCTTAGAAAAAACGAGAAAGAAAACTATTCAGTCTGCCTCAAAGTGTTGCGTCGCTCAAGCCTCTGTTATTGATCTATCTGACAGCGTTGCGGCACCGAATTTAGGCATTCTGACATTAAGCTCTTTGTTATTTTTTACAGCAAACTTTGCAACATAGCGATGCTTTGGTACACAACGTCGGAGGCGTTGTATGGAAAAAAAATCGGGGAAAAAAAATTCGGGTGCAAAGCAGAGGGAGGACCCCCGCACACCCCCAACAAGCATGACAAATTGAACTAAGGTCCAATGAAGTAGTACAACCCGATTGATCGACATAATCAGATTCCACACAGACTAACAACAGAAGACTAATGGATGTTTGACTTGAAACTTGTAACACAACAAAGAGAAGCTGAAATTAAGAAAAACTAGGAAAACTAAGTAATGCATAGCATGTTAAAGAATATAGTTGACCGGCCAAAAAATCACATATTAAATTATTGTTTGCATATCTTCATAGAAAAGCCCTGTTAAAAGAAGGGACACTAGCACGCTTAACCTAAGCAGCTGTTAAAGTTGTTATCTTGCCCTTCAGATATTCCTGTGGTACGAAATTAACAGGCAGAATTTTGATTACAAAATGTATATGACTATGAGTTAGCTAGAAAAATTAAATGTAAAAAATAGAAGATAAAATTTATCCAGAATTGCAATACTTGGGAGATTATTCAGTCTACATCTAGCAGCAGACTTGGGATTTATTTGGGGTGGGTCTAAAGTTTGGGTGAGTAACAATGAAGCTGCTTGATAAAAATAAATAAGTACAGAATGTGTAGACGTCATCATTGACCTATTAAATAAAATAAATGACGCATATCATGTGTCAGGCCACACCTCATTAGTTATGTTTCAGATTGTTAAGGCTGCACATTATCTCTTTAATAATGAGCAAGTCGAATCATAAGCCTGTGTGTAAGAATGATAAAGCTGCACATTATTTCTATCATAATAGGAAAATCAATTCATAAGCCTATATTTAAGGATTAATTATTAAATTAGGCGTGTAAACAAAATCTCAGAAAAAAAGATTTGTAGTGTTCCTGCAAAAAGATTCATAATGTTTCTGTTAAAAGGTTAAATTAATAAAAACTAACCAACTTTATAGTTTGAATCAGGAATATATCCAAGCCTATTCCACATAACTGAGCAAAAAAATGTATAGTCTCTATACATTAAACGTGGAGAAATTATAAGCCTTCGCTCCTCTAAACCAACCATGCTAAAAAAAAATTGAATTGGAAGATTAAAAAACAAAGAAAGTTCATCCAGTAAAGAGTGCAAATATCAAAGATGGAAAACAAAACAGAATATTAAAACCAATGGAATAGCATGAGGCATACATTGAACTCAGTTTCAGGTTTTCGCACAAGAGCCTCCACATAGCTTCCAAGCCCAGCAGCTGTTCAGCAAACAAAAGATATTGACAATCTTTATTCAATAAAAGATAAACATGACACTGAGTTGAATGATAATGAACATAACAGAAATAAACTAAAACAGAGAAAACCTTAATCTTCAATAAATTAAAGAAAAAATTATTTGCAGTGAGGAGGAGGATAATAGTATAGAAGTTTAATCCACTACATGAAACATGCACTCGAACTAGCAGAAAAAAAATCACCGATATTACTAGCAGATTTTTCAGTAGAATGTCAGAAATTTCGTCAAATTTGGGTAGAGGATTTTTCGACAGTTTTTTTGCCATAAAATCTAATGGAAATTCCGAATAATCATGGGAATTGTCAACCCCCTTCAGCCACTCCTTATTTATGCCCTAGCTGTCACGCAAACCCCATAGACAGCTGCAATTCCAACGCCATTTCACACTCTAAAGTTTAAATTGTTAATTTTTTGTTAGCTTTATGGATTTATTTCATATTATGTATGTTTTCTTTCATATATTTGATTTTCTTCAAATATTTAATTTATATTTTATTGTTGTCATGTTAAGTAACTTTTTCTTATTCCACTGGTCGTTTTTCTTTTTCTACTTTTGACAAAGTAAACGTAGAATGAATGAGAAAAAAATATTATAAAGATAAAGTATTGCATGTCAGATTTGTATGATTGTTATAGCAGTGATACCATTGTCAAATGATAAGTAAGAAAAAAAAAATTTACAACCTAGTTTATTTATAAGTTGGCATTTGTCTGCATTTCTTTGACCAAAGTGAATATTTGATTTTAGTTTACAAATTTGTCAAATAAAGATTATTCTTAGCTGCATATTCTTTATTATCAAAAGAATACTAGAGTCATGTCTGAGAAGATCTCGACAAGTTCAAAAACGTTACTTCTTAAAAGGCAAGTATTGATTATTCTTCCCTTAAGATGCACTTCTTGGCCACAATATTGAGCTTAAGAGTTCTGTAATGTTTAGATATGTTTTCATATTTTTACAATCTTTAGTTCTTGTTAATTTTTTTTTCTGCTAGTTCTTGTTAATATATTTACACGGAAACCTAAGAGAATAGAGTTGCTATCAAATTTCTCGAAAAAATTGTCAGAAATTTCCAGCAAATTTTCTGTGAGAAACTCTAATTATTTGACAAAAATTCCACCCCAAAAGTCAATTGAAATTTTAACTTTTCGCCACTAGCGACTTTTCCGGCAGATGCCTATATATAAGGTGTTCGGGCAGCCAGTCTGCCGGATCCCCTGCGCGAAATATTTTTCTGTAGTTGTCTTTGAGTTGAAAAGCATTTCTTGTGAGGGATTTACAGAACTACTCTGAAATCCATAAAAGAAAAAAATCCAATTATTGGTGGATATTGGTTGTTTCTGGCGAATTTTTCCATTGGAAAATCAATGATTTCCCGCTGTGATCAAACCGGAGAGCTATCCAGGCAAACAATATATAACTTTTGAACTGAGATTAAAAAAACCTATTAGCATACTATTAATTAATAACAAGTTGTGATGCTAGTGAACTCCAACTTCTATGTTGCTGAGCTAACATCAAGATCTTATCATGGAGTATGCTAGCACAATTCCTTCTAAAGATGGCAAGATAAGGAAATAAGCCATGGAGGTCAGTGCCCTGGATTACTGGACCATTGGGCCTGGTAAGAACTGTAGAAGTCAAATTTTTTTATGTGATGCGAACAAAAAGTAAACAACTTCCACTCTTTAAAAATGTAAGTTAATATCAACTCAAATATTCTATCATCATACAGCTCATAAACAGTAACCAGGATTTCATTCTCACTAGTGTCAATCTTCTCGGGTGGATTGTCCCCAAGTCTTTTGAGAGTTTTAGAGCTCAAGGATGTCAGCATAAAAACAGAACTCTCCCTCAAGCCACTTTGTAAGTCCTGATGTCATTTTATGTTGTTTATTCTATTATTCTCCTTTCTTTCCTACACTTGACCTCCTTCTGATGCGGACATCCGGTCATGGAAAGTTTATCGTCGCCGAGGCCGGAGATCAGCGGCCGTGATTAAGTTGTTGTATATGTAGTTTGTTTTATTTGATCTTTTGGATTTGTGTTGTTTTATTTCCTATTTTACCCTCATGTGAGGGGATGTTATGTTTGGTGACCAAGGGTATTTTGGTCTTGTTGTTTTTTCTTCTTTTGGGGCTTATATATAGAACCTCTCATCCTTTGTAATTGGGCTAATGAATGAATGCTAAAAACATTTTTACCTTTGGAGCTTAGTTTTCTTCTTTCGAAGTAGCTTGATAATGATTAGTTTAGTGGTGTGAGTGTGAAGTACCCAACAGCCATTGGCTCTTGGTTTTATCCTTGTTCTCAAGTCTCTCCATTTCCTTCCCCACTCCCAACCGAACCCTTCCCCTACTCTCAACCGGCGTTCCCAAACTCATGCAGCAGATTTCTGCTTGGAAACCTGCTGTCCAAAGCCTTCTAACCCCACCAACAGCCCTCCGTTTACCCTCCCTCCTAGTGCTAGTAACCAACCACCCAACATCCACTTTGGTGACCCTTCTTCTTCCAAAAAAACACTAAAATTTCCCCTCCCAATAGCCAACCAAATTCTTTCTTTAAAACTTCCTCATTGGAAGTTGGAAAGTCAGCTTGTGCCTCTTCGTATTCTCCAAAGTCCCTCTTCATTTCCCTATTAAATAAAATCCACATAACCTTCCAACTCCCCCAAACTTGCTGCCTACTTTTCCCAACAGTCACTAAACCACGTTTTTCCACTATATCCCCTTCCCAAAACAACCAAAACTAATCCTCACTCATTTTCCAGTCATTAGAACACTCCACACTCCTCCATTAGACCCTCCACCATCCCTTTAGCCTCCACTAACACTCCAAACAGCATCCTCCCTTCCCAAAACCATTAAATCAGTAAGTGCTGTCATCCAAAGTCACCATAGAGGATTCCTTTCAGAGATTCAACAAAAGTCGTTGTCTACCAAGGGAGTTATTGGCCTCTTAGTCAACACTTTGTTCAACATCCAAGCAAGATAAGTGTCTTACATCTTCTCTTATTTACTGTTTAGCCTAGATATCGTATTCTCCCCTCTGAAGTAGCATCAAACAAGTGTAGCAACTAATCTGCTTAGTCTACTTTCTTAATCAAGAGCTTCGGACTTCATTTGCGCTAATCCTAAATTAAAAGTGGGACTAGCTATCCATGTTCTCAGAGTTTTAATTACTTTACTCACTTTAAATTGTGAATGTCGATACTAGTCAAGTTTCTTGTTTCCGCGTAGTTGTGTTGCCTAAATTTCTTGTCTTGATAAATTTCCTTGGAGTTTAAATTTGCTGTTTTTATTTATTCCCTAGCATAAATCTCTACATGCATGATCAATTTACTTTGTCCTGCATCACCTTCGCTTCTCTTTCATTCCAAAAATTTCCTCCCGCTGCTCTTCTGCACTCCCCCTAAAGCTCATCTTGTCTTCCCCACAATACAATCTTTAAAAGCCACCATAGCTAGCTATAACTATCTACAAATTAGGTAAAAGAAACTGTGGTCTCATGGATCAAGTCCAGGTTTCTTACATGATAGATGAGCTAGGCTTGGGTTACCACTGGGGGCTACAGTCCTGACATCATGTGATTTGCACAAAGCAGAATTAAGCAATGTAAACTTACAATAGTATTAGCAAACCTGGTTTTCCAGTGTCAATATGATTAAATTAGGAAACTAATATCTTAAAAACAAAAAACAGAGCAAATTATTAACAACTAAAAGCAAACCGTTGTAATCAAACAAGTTGAAGGTCCGTGCCAAAAATATTAACATGCTCTACTACCAGATTCATTGATCGAGTAATACCAACAGGATAAAAATCCTTCTACAAAAACTAGAAATGATTAGGTCTTTCTTACACTAATTGAACAAAAATATATCAAAGTATTTAAAAATGAAGAGATATTCTCATCATGAGATGATAGCAAAAACAAACCAGGATCTATAGGACTTGTTGTTCTTAGCAATACTCTTTCCCGGCCTGCAATTATCTCAGCTTGCAAGAAACGCCCAACATCAAATGGTTCTGGAGCATAAACTGGTTTTGTTGCACCTGGAAATGAAAATAAGTTCAGGTAACAAGGAACGTAGAATGATGAAGAATGTTCAAAACGGCGTATAGAAGTCGCAGTGTAGGCGAAGACAAAACAGAAATGAGCTGAATCAATTAACATTTTTCAGCAGGAATCCCAATGGTTGCCCAAACAAGTGATACAGTTGTCTGGCAAATTTGTTGTACCCTACATAATTTGATGCATTTAAAAATATACACGGATCATCTATTAGTGGGCACTCAATCCCTAGAATATTGAGGGGCAGTTTGGTTTGAAGGATTTTGGGTGTAAAATATTATGAATGCAGGATTTTAGAAAAGTAAGAGTTTTGTTTGTTACAACGAGTCCATGCTACTGCTACCACAGCTGTCATTCGCTGTCATCGGCCACCACCATTACCGCCCACTGCTAAACGCCACCACCGTCCACTACCGCTAGGTTTTTTTGCTAAATTTATTTATTGGATGTATTTTATTTCAAATAAAAAAAAGGGTAATCTATTCCATTTATTTTACACTCAGGGGTTATTTGGTTTGGAGTAAATGATGTGTAAAGTATTTCAAATGTAGGAGTTTTGAAAATAGTGTTTGATTTGAAATAAAAGAAATGCAGGGTAACATTTTGAAGTAATTGGAACGCACGCTCTAGTTCAATTTTGATGCATTTGAAAATCATTAGATTTGACCAATTTTTAAATACAATGTAAATTCTCTGCCGTTATTGTAGCAAGCCATTACCAGCCATCACCCGCTATAGGTTACAATAGTTAAACCCAACTTGGTCTATCCATTCTGAATTGAACCTAACCAGATATTCAGATCCTATCGAAAAATCCATACCTCCTAATGAAATTATAAGGCGTGCTTAAGGAAGAAGAAAAAACCAGATATAAGTACCTGAAATCAACTCTTTTTTTCCATCGTCAGGCTGTATACGATACCACTGAACAGAAAAGTTTGAAATTTCCATACTATTTTTCATTTGAGAAATGATTCGTAAACAGGAGCCTAAACTTTCAAGACCCTCCAACTCGTATGAACAAGCTCTGCTTTGCTCAATTTTTTTGCTCATTTCCAACTGGAGAAACAGAGATAGCAAAATAGAAATCAGTAATAATAATAACGCCTACCGTTTTTACATGTTGATGGATATAAAAAATATATACATAAATATACATGAATTTCAATTAGCCGATATCATAATTAATAGTTCCATTGTAAATATTATATTCTAAAGATGGTTATGAGGAAGGAATCTTTGTGAAAACATCCATGAAAGGAACATACAACACCAGCACGGTTTATACGAAAAAGTACTACTTCAAATTCTACTTCAATCATCATGCACTATATTCCAACAAAAATACTAGCACAAGTACTGTAACAAAGCAAAGATTAAAAATAGTTTATCACAATAAGTGTAGCATAACAGTCCATAGTAATAGATGGGAATAATGAAAAGTTAGAAAAAAAACAAAGAGAAATAGGACAAACCTCCCAGAATTATCACTAAAGCAAAAGACCTTAAATCATTATAAAAACATTCAGAACTAGGAAAAATACGTGCGACCCCCTTAGAATAATGAAAACATATAAGCCTAGCATATCGGCAACAAACAGTGTTAACAGGACAAACAAAATGGACCCAGCAAAAATTTAAGTTTACAGGACAAAAAAACCTCTTTATGAAGTTGAATAGCATAAACTGACTTTTCTTCCAGTTGGACACGCAATGCTTGAAGTTCATGCTCCATATCCATTACCTGTAAAACAAATTTCAAAATCTATTTGAATAAAATGGAAACATTCAAAAGATAAATAGACGAAAAACAAAAAAAAAACTACAAATGATACAACATAAAAGGATTTTTGGAATGCATAAAAGGCCAAGAGCAGGTGTCAATAATTACATAAGGCTATATGCAAAGATGCAATATAAAGAAATACCCTGCTAGGTTGATGAAGCATTTTGATCCGTCGAGCCTCTTGAACTTCTTTCCTAAGCTCTTCCAAATCCTTCGATTTCAAAAAAAAAAAAAAAAGAAAAATGCGAGAACATTAGAAAACAAAAATTAATTCAATGCAAAGTTGCAAAGCAAGCATATGTCATATTATGCAACACTTGAGAAACAAATTAAGTTCGCATATAGCTGACAAGACAAACCATTAAAATCCTCAACCATGTCAAGGTTAGAAGGAAGAAGATGAACAGTGTTGAGCTGAAAGATATCTTGCATTATACTTCCAATGGTTTTTATAAGCCATTGGAGGAATATTCCTGGACCGTTAAGGTCAATACAAGTGGAGCAGACCATTGAGGTCAGAGCAGGTAGCGCAGAGGAAAAATAAGTGGATTAGGCCTTTACATGTGGCCGTTACTTGTTATGATTGGCTTTACATGCCCCCTCAAACTGAGGATCCAGTGAGCTGATGCTCAGTTTGTTTCTCAGAGTGATGAATCGGTTGGTTGGTAGAGGCTTAATTAAGATGTCGGCAACCTGCTCATCGGACGGAAGGTGAGAGACAACCACCGTTTGCTTTTTGATGTGATCACTTATGAAATGATGATCGATTTCAATGTGCTTCGACCGGGCATGAAACACAGGGTTGTGAGCGAGAGCAAGGGCCAAGAGGTTGTCACAGAAGATGGTGGTGGGTTGTGTGAGTGGTATTTGAAAATCCAGAATTAGGCGCCGTAGCCAGATCACATTAGATAGAGCTGAAGACAGAGCTCTGTATTCGGCTTCGATGAAAGACATCGCCACCGTGGTGTTGACCTACGTGTAAAGAACAAAAAAAAAAAGAGCAGCTCACCTCGTATCTGTCGAGGAAGTCCAGAAAATCAGCGGATATCCCGCTGAATTCGGCGCCGAAGCGATCTTTTCCCGGATTTCTCGCAAAATAGCTCGTCGATCGCGCCATTCGCGTCGTTAAATAAAAGCTAAAGCCTCCGACTCTTCTTCCACCCCGTGAATTCCCTCCCACTCGTTTCCTCGCATCCCGAGCTCCTCCCTCTCCCTCGTCTGCTACTTCCGGCTCCAGTCCGACGCACGAGCTGCTCCCGTCGCAGCTCCCTCGACGACTTCCCTTCCGGCCGGATCGAAAGTCACGACATTTTGATCGTAAGTAACAGAGGGAGCTCGCTGTGAAGTTAACTTTCTCCCTTCCCGCACCCCTTCGGCCGGATCCCGTGAGAGAGAAAGAGAGAGAGAGAGAGGAGAGAGCACCTACCTCTTGAAGTCCTAGACCCGTCGACTCCTCCTCATGCGACGACTCTCCCTTCGTGTTCGGATCGGAAGTCACTCATTTTGATCGGAAGTAACAACAGGAGCTCGCTGGAGGTAAAGGTAACTTTCTCCCTTTCACGCGCTTGTTCGACCTAATCCCGTTAATCTCCCGAAACAGAGAGTAAGAGAGGGAGAGATGTTTATTTTAATGTTGTTAATTAATTAATTTTAATTTTAATTAATTTGATGATTATTTTTAATTATAATTAATTATATAGATTATAATCAATTATAATTAAATGTAGTTAATTATTATTAATTATAGTTAACTATTAGTTATTATTAATTATTATTAATTAATATATCATTTATTAATTAATTAATATATTATTAATATAATAATTTTAATTATAATTAATATTTATTTTAATTAATTTTAATTAAATATAATTAATTATTTTTAATTAATTATAATTAATTATTTTAATTAAATATATTAATTATAAGTAAATATAATTAATATAAACATAAATTATATTAATTATAATTAATTAATTATAAGATAAAGAAAATAAAGCTCCTTTCTCTCCGTCCTCACACCTCGATCCGACCCCGCAGGTAATAACTTTTCTAAACCCTAAAACTCCGAGATCCCGCTTTCGATGCTTGCAACCGACCAAACGACCACCTATACAGCTTTTCTCTAGGTGGTGGGAGGAAGTTCGTGCGGTGTTTTCAACGAATTGGGAGATCACATAAATCTGTTCTCGATGTGCGTGCAATCGGTAAACCGCCTATACACGCTTTTCTCTAGCGTGGTGGGATGGGACCCGGTGCGGTGCGTACGGCAAGACCGGATATTCATAAGTACTCGTTCGCGGAAATACTGCTTTTCATCCATAAGTACCCGCTGCGGGGAAACAACTGTTTCTCTTTTGAAACAGGTACCGAAAACCATAACACGCCTTTCTCTGCGTGGTGGGGACAAAAACTTTACACGGCCGCGGTGTCCTCGAAAGAGGGCACCTACCGTACACGCTTTTCTCTAGCGTGGCGGGAGGCCCAGTTTTCCGTAGTTTTCCCCTAAACGGGGAGACCCGGGAGGCTGCGAATTTCGGGTGAAATACTGCTACGCTCGGACCTGTTTTTAACTCAAAGAGAACAAAGATGTGGACACATTTGAACAATCAAGGACTTGGAACTATGCTCAGAACTCAAATTAAAATGAACTAAATACACTTGAACTTAAATTTGAACTCAAAACTTGTGGACATCGAACTTGAACAAGACATTGAACACAAGAGACTTGATGAACTACAAAGGACTACGCTCAAACTTGATTTGAGCTTTAATTGAACTTGAACTCATACTTATGTGAGCAAAGACTTGGATCAGCTTTGGACTATAAGGAACTCAAACTCTGACATTGAACTCTACTTGAACCAAATGGAACTTCAATCAAACTCAATCAAGAAGAACTTGATTTGGGCTCAGACTTAAGTTGAACTTAACAAGATTGTTTGTGGAATAAATCTTGAACTATAACAAGGCTTGGGTTTGAGTCTCATTTGACTCAAAAGAGTCATGATTCGAATTATTTGAACTCAAATTTGGAGCAAAACTTGAATTAGACAAACTCAAACTTGAGTTTGGACTTGATTTTGATGATGACCCAGAGAATTTCAAATGAACCATATAAGATCTAACTTGTATAGATTACAAGTGACAAGCTCCTAACAATTAGATGCATTTGTCTCCTACAAGTTGGGGGATTCAACATGCGATGAACTGAAAGACATGATGTGTTTTGAATAAGTTCAAAGAGGACACTCCAACTATCAACATCAAAATTCAAACATACAAACTGATCTGCAAACAAATAAATCCTACATGTACTGTTGGAATCCCCTACGATAATCCCTACGAATGCCTGTTGATTGAAGAAGGCGACATTGGAGGTCAATAGGAGGATCCACTATGCACACAACATGTAATTTGCAAGGAGAATGCAAGTAGTCTACCAAGTGTAGGATGTCTATATATCCTACCATAAAGTAGTGGAAAATAAATGTATATGTCTTCTACAAACAAAGAAAATTTGATCTACAACAAATGCAATCATCAGATCCCACCTGAGATTGATGAAAGGTGGGTAGGATGCAAGAATAATGACACTTCTATAATCAATAACAATTCAATGGTGATCAAATATAGTAATTTTTCACGAACAAAGATGGTCACATTGTAGCAAGTACAACCATCTGCAAACCGTCGTGGAGGACCCATCACATGTATTAAATTTCGTATACGAGCAGAATGTCAAAAGACCACAATAAGTGTAGGCTCCTACGACTAAGAAGGCAGGAGACTCGTTAGTGCACTATGACCCACCTACAAAAATCAACAAGTAGTGCACGACAGTCTACCTGTACGAAGCAGCGAATAATTCTTTCAGATACTGCTACTCTAAGCCACCGGATCCGCAACTTTTATGCAAACGGACAGAAGGCGTCTACAAGTACTTTCAAAATACCCCCGCACGTGCACTATAAATTGTATACACATAGATACACTAAAAGGGGTAAAAATAATTATAAAACCCGCATGGGCCCCGGCGAACGTGTTATTGGTACACACGTGACGTCTAGGGATGCTGCGCGGGTTGACAAGTGAATTCAGGTTCGAAACCGATCATTCTATACGGGTCAATAGAAGTCGACAGGGTTCGAACCGTTAAGCAAATATAAAGTTGTGGCGACTGGTATATTTGCTTTAAAACATTTATATTAGGCCATCAAGGCCTACAATAATATGAATTACTAACAAATGCTCAAAGCCTACAAAACCCGATCCTCTGTCGACAGCCCGATAGAGTTGACAAGGTTCAATCCATAAAAAGAAATGACCCCCAAACACCCCGATGATGGTCGTCTTGAATGCAAATCTCAACCTGAGGGGTGATTCAATTGCTTTCAAACATCTTTCAAATTCCACCCAAAATCCCAGAAAATTCCAGAAATCCCAAAATTCCAAAAGAATATTTAAAATTGAAATCATCCATCCGTACTTAAAGCAAAATTGAATAAAAAATTGGTTATAGTGAATATAGCTAATGAAGATAGCTACTTAGAAGTTGAATCTCTTTTTATTGGGTTATGGCTGCAATGAAGACAATAGTGGAATCTAGTTGGGGTACTCTTTGAGGCTACTAGAACTAGAGCCTAAAAAGGATAAACTACAAAATACAGTTTCTTGACAACATAAGAAAATACTTTGAATATTTTTTCCCCAAGCTCTGATTCCATGAAGAAATGGGAAATCATTTTCTATAAATATATCATTTTAGACATCATACTCTAGTTTATACAACAAAATACTAGATTATGCTAGATAATTTCTATATATTTAAATTATTATTGTATGATTATTACATCATAATCTTCTTAAGATAAATATAGAAATATTTAATCATATCTCTTAATGTACCTCATTGAAAAAAAAAAGAAAGATATTCTATGTTTGCAAGCATTTCCTTCACATAAAAACTAAGAGGAATTTCCACCCATTGCCCACGAATTGCCAAGCAAACCCAAAAGAAGAAGCTACGAACACAAATCATGTATTTAGTATTTCTTTTATAATTTTGAGCCTCTTAGCATTAAAGGGTTACCTCCATTCTTCTGATATTGCACTTATTTTAAAATATGTTTCACATATTAGTATTTTTTTTATAGTAATATAAGCCATGATAACTAACATGAGTATTTTTGTAAGCATATTCATAACTCTGTTGAGTTTTGATTAGGTTGTTAAAC